TATCCCTAAGCAGTGTGCAGCGTGTACACCCCTGCCTGAGCAGTGTGCAGCGTGTACACCCCTGCCTGAGCATGCAGTGCGCACCGTGTACACCCCTGCCTGAGCATGCAGTGCGCACCGTGTACACCCCTGCCTGAGCAGTGCGCACCGTGTACACCCCTGCCTGAGCAGTGCGCACCGTGTACACCCCTGCCTGAGCAGTGCGCACCGTGTACACCCCTGCCTGAGCAGTGCGCACCGTGTACACCCCTGCCTGAGCAGTGCGCACCGTGTACACCCCTGCCTGAGCAGTGCGCACCGTGTACACCCCTGCCTGAGCAGTGCGCACCGTGTACACCCCTGCCTGAGCAGTGCGCACCGTGTACACCCCTGCCTGAGCAGTGCGCACCGTGTACACCCCTGCCTGAGCAGTGCGCACCGTGTACACCCCTGCCTGAGCAGTGCGCACCGTGTACACCCCTGCCTGAGCAGTGCGCACCGTGTACACCCCTGCCTGAGCAGTGCGCACCGTGTACACCCCTGCCTGAGCAGTGCGCACCGTGTACACCCCTGCCTGAGCAGTGCGCACCGTGTACACCCCTGCCTGAGCAGTGCGCACCGTGTACACCCCTGCCTGAGCAGTGCGCACCGTGTACACCCCTGCCTGAGCAGTGCGCACCGTGTACACCCCTGCCTGAGCAGTGCGCACCGTGTACACCCCTGCCTGAGCAGTGCGCACCGTGTACACCCCTGCCTGAGCAGTGCGCACCGTGTACACCCCTGCCTGAGCAGTGCGCACCGTGTACACCCCTGCCTGAGCAGTGCGCACCGTGTACACCCCTGCCTGAGCAGTGCGCACCGTGTACACCCCTGCCTGAGCAGTGCGCACCGTGTACACCCCTGCCTGAGCAGTGCGCACCGTGTACACCCCTGCCTGAGCAGTGCGCACCGTGTACACCCCTGCCTGAGCAGTGCGCACCGTGTACACCCCTGCCTGAGCAGTGTGCACCGTGTACACCCCTGCCTGAGCAGTGCGCACCGTGTACACCCCTGCCTGAGCAGTGCGCACCGTGTACACCCCTGCCTGAGCAGTGTGCACCGTGTACACCCCTGCAGTCTGGTCCCCGGGGGTGGTGGGAGATGGGGGGGGGGGAAGATGGCTGTGCCTGTCAAATCGTTGAGATATCTCTAGGCCTATCATGTATATATATCTAGGTATATATATAAATATATATCTAGGCCCATCTTAGCCTCCCCCCCCCCCTCCCTGTCACTGTACAGGGAAAGAGAAGAGAGACGGGCAGGTCCACGGAGAGTGAAAGTGCATAAAAAGTGGTTTGTCTGGTAAGTGGATCAGCCAGCCTCCACCTACACCCACGTATGTCTTCCCTCCTCCTCCTCCCACCTGCCCAATTGTGTGTGCTTCTGCGGGTACTCCTCTACCTCCTCCGCTTCCTCTCCCTTCCATACTCCCACTATAATATACATATTCTACTTCGTTCTACTTAGCTCTGATGAAGACGAATTAAGCCGAAAACGCGTTAAGCATTCTTTATTTTTATGTGGGTTTTCCGCATACTTGGATCAGTGTTTTTGTGATCGTTGTTGCATATATATTATATATTATATATATATATATATATATATATATATATATATATATATATATATATATATATAATAGGTACTCAGCCGCACATGGGTCTCTTCTCACCCTCGAACTATCTCCCCCTTGACCTTCCCCCTCCCTCTACTCTCATAAAATCTATTAAGAAGCGTGGAAAAAACTGTACAAGTCTCTCAAAACTATATTAATTCAATCACAAAAACTCTCTGGGCATCTCGCCAAATATTTCACATTTGACTCCACGAAAATCAAATGGGTGTCTATATAATTGTTTATATTTCTTAAAGTATTTAACTTAGGAACACATCGAGCAGCCTATGTCTGTCCCGTACACCAGACCATTCCCGCTGCAAAGTTGAGCGAGCCTAGCCAGAGAGAGAGAGAGACTCGATCCCATATGTGGCAAAATAGGTAGCGAGCACACTCCACGCCTCGCCAGCTATTTCGGCGGGTTCGAGCCCCGGGCATGGGCGGTGGAGAGGCCAGCGACCCTTACCTGTGGTGCCGTGTCTAGCCAGCAGTGTTTGGGAGGCCAGGATGGTGGGGGGGGACAAGTAGGTGTTAGGCTTCACATGCCGTGTGGAAGGGTAAGCGCCAAGCCTAGTGATAAGTCACATATGCAAGCCTAGTTATACAATATATATACGTCAATGTATATATCAGTTCCCAGCACCAAGGTATATACCAGTTCCCAGCGCCAGGGTATATACCAGTTCCCAGCATCAAGGTATATATATACCAGTTCCCAGCGCCCATACCCACAACGGTTGCACTGTACAAGAGAGAAGACTGACCAGCAGCAGTGCCCGTGAGCTTCTCAATAGGTCAGTGTCCCCAGTAAACCGGTCACGGGGGCCCCCGAGGTATAGAAAACGCGCTGCGAGCACAGTAGCCCACATTCAAGACCCAGAAAATGAGCGGATTGCCAGCAAAATTATAACTAATTTCAATTATTATTAATATAAACTTACATAGTGACATTGTTGACGTACAGTGGTTATATAGTTATGGTGGTCCTCTCGTGCAGCTGTTGGTAGATTCCTGGCCTCAGTGGATTTATATTTGATAAAATTCCGGTTTTGAATTAACAGCATGTTAAAATTTATGAACACGTCTGGGGGGGGGGGTCGACCGCTGGATGGAATGGACTCGAGTCGAGAACGGGTTGACATGAGAGTAGATAGTGTGTACACTTAATTGTGCTGGCTGGAGTTGAGCTTGGGCTGTTTGGTTCAGACTTGAGAGTGTGTGTAATGTTAAGCTGAGACGTAGGTGTGTGTACTCCAAGCCCAAGACTGGTCACTAGGCTGTGGGCGGCTTCTGAACCACAAAATTCTGTTTTCACTTTGAGCTTCACATTAAATAATAGTTTCATTACTGTAACTGAAACTATTGCTATCGCTACTACTATTGCAACAGGAAACACTACTACCAGTATTAAAGCTATTATAGAACGACTACATAATGCTACTGCTGGTCCTATTAAGACTTGAGTCTACCGTAAAAATAATCAGCTTACGGAATCAGCATCACTAATGAAGCGTTCACCTTAGGCCGATATAAGACTTATGGATCAATACAATCACTGGTATGGCTTGGACAAAATGTTGTATGCGGTCAAAATGATCTAGGCCTGGTGTGGGAGACGAGGGACACCCGCATCATGTTGGTAATATGTGGGCGTAGTGTAGCGACACCCACACTGGTTTTGTTGGTAAATATCCCAGGATGAGGGTGGACAGGGTGGGTGGATGGGTGTCCATACATCCTGTGCGTGTGCGTGTGCAAGTCTAGATTCACCAGTGAAATGAGTAATTTCTTGCATGAGGCTATCTAGCCTAGACGTTATACTTGTACTATTCTATAATTGACGGTGGTGGTTTGTGAGCGTGTTTGAGTGAATTTAATATCTGTCTGCAAGATCCAGCTGTTAGCTCTTGGACCCCGCCTTTCTAACCGTGGATTGTCTAATGTGCTCACTCTCAACCTCATTTTCTCTATCATATCTTCAACATACATATATTTCTCTAAAACACACAGCCTTAGGGTGAAGGTCGGTAGCAGCTTTGACTCCCAGGTACCTATTTACTGTTTGGTAAACATAGGCATCAGGTGAAAGAAACTCTGGCCAATTTGTTTCTGCGTTGGCCGGGAATTGAACCCGGGCTCTTAGGACTACGACCCCCCGAGCGATGTCCACTAGGCCTTAAGTATATGTACGTACCTACACTGTGTATACATATACACATACACGTGGGCGAACTCTCCATGTAGACATGCCTTCACCGACGTCTCCACTTTCACATGAGCACACAGATTGCATCTGTGTGCACCGCCTGCCCTCCCTCTACCAGCCTGCCTTCTCCTGCCACCATGCACCTCATTCATACACACACACACACACACGTAACACTTGTGTACACTCGCACACTTTTTTGTGTCATTTTGGCGTGCCTTGTAGCCTCAACTGGCCATGTGTACACTCACTGTAGAGTGCGCGCGCTCGCCTATGTATTTCCCGATTATATTAGAGCAGTACCATCTCTGGATGGGAAGGGGGGGACCCATAGCCTGGGAGAAAGGGACATACAACACACTAGAGGGGATTCTTTGGTCCCCATCGCTAAATTCTGGGGGTTCAGTTCCTGTAGTCCATTATATGCGCCACCAGCCTTTACCATTAAGCTCAACGGGAAGCCTAATGGCTTCCAATGGAATATAAATGGAATTTTTACATTAGGCTACTCATTCATATTACTTTTTTTCTAATACATACAGTGTGTGTGTGTGTGTGTGTGTGTGTGTGTGTGTGTGTGTGTGTGTGTGTGTGTGTGTGTGTGTGTAAATATAAAAAGGAAATCACAACGCAAGTTTGATTAGTGTAAATGGTTGGTCACAGGCTGGTGAACTAGCCAAGACGAGACAAGGACTCATGATGACCCCTAGGGTTGAGCTATACCACATTCTTCTTCTTCAGTAGTTAGTTGTACAATGTAAGAGTCGCCAACACCTTGTAGCTCCCACTCCCGTAAGAACACGCTCCAAGTCTCCCCAAGCCTAGCAGGTGTACACCTGGAGTGTGAGTAGCACACACACACAGGAGGACACCCAGGACACAGGAGAGGACACAGGAGAGTACACAGGAGGAGACACAGGAGGAGACACAGGAGGAGGACACAGGGGAGGACACAGGAGGGGACACAGGAGAGGAACACACACACACACACACAGGAGGACACCCAGGACACAGGAGAGGACACAGGAGGAGACACAGGGGAGGACACAGGAGGGGACACAGGAGAGGAACACACACACACAGGTGGGTACTGGGTCAACCCGTCGTGGTAGAAACTGAAAGTAGAATTACTGAAGGCGAGTGGCGATTGTTACGTACCTGTACAACATGTTGACCATCAGAGACGTCTCCTTAACAATCACTTCTCATAGTCTCCACACAATGACCAATATAACACACTTTAGCACTTGCTTTCTCTGTGCTTTAAGTCCCATAAACCTGTTTTAGTCGGGCACCAAACAACCCATTCAGGGGATACAAATTCTGTATATATATCCCAACTTATTGGAAAAATTACTTGTCAAGAGTTTGTTATTAGAGTTATGTGAGGGGAGTTGTGTTGACACTGCGGCCAGTGAGGACGAGGTGAAGCAGGAGTAGGGCTCAGCGTGCGTCCGTCCACCTCCACGTTGGGACCACAACTGACTTCTCTACGTCCATACCATTCCTCCCTCACTTCTTGCCTCCCTCCCTACCTTACCTCCCTCCCTCCACCACAACCCTGCCTCCCTCTCTCTCTCTCCCTACCTGGCTTACCTCTCAACCCTTTCTCCCTCTCTAGCCAACCTCCTATACTCTACCTTTTTCTCCCTCCCTAAACCCACCTTTTCTTCCCGATCTTTCTCCCTACCACCAACACAGTATTTCCCCACCATGCTGACCTATACACGCCCATATCTCCCCCACCTGTTGCCATTTTCTCCCCGCCAATCTCGGGCAAAGGAATAGTTACTCAGCGTCAACACCTCACAGACACTAACTTTCAACACCTGTAATAACTCACTCGGGGCCCTCCACGCCAACCACCCACATAACTATTCCATTCATCAGTACGAGCTTAGAGGTGTGATGAGTTGGCCCGTGAAGGCTTGCACGCACGCAAGCAAGCAAGCACGCTCCTCAGGTGTTGTGTTGACGTGACACGTGTTGGGATTGGTATTATGTTGGTGTGACAGGTGTTGTGCTAGGTGTAGCAGGTGTTCAGATAGGTTGTCTTCCGTCCTCATCAACAAGGCCAAACGCCCGTTAATCACCCGCCAATCTCCCCCTCCCCCCCACCCCGTTTATGAATGAAAAACGGTTTACCAACCCGTCCTCGACTCAAGTCCATTCCATCCAGCGGTCGACCCCAAGGACGCACTTGTCAATTTTGACATGCTGTTCATTCAACATAAGAATTTTCTCAAATATAAATATTGTTACTCATTAGCATACTGCACCACATATGTTATGCAAGTATACTAATTATACAGTATACATACATTATACATGTACGTATACTGTATACATACATGTTATGCAGTATACACACATTATACGTAACAGGACTCTGATTCAAGAAGCAGATACGCAAGTACTTACGAACGTGTACATCTTTCCTCAATCTTTGACGGCTTTGGTTACATTTATTAAATAGTTTACAAGCATGAAAACTTCCCAATCAACTGTTATAAACAGCCTCCTGGTGCTTCGGAGCTTATTAACTGTTTAATATTTGTAAACAAAGCCGCCAAAGACTGAGAAAAGATGGACAGGTTCGTAAGTGCTTGCGTAACTGCTTCGTGAATCTGGCCCCTGATCTCTAACCCTATCCACGGAGGACTGAATTAAATATGCACATGTTGGCTAGCATTGTAAGTGAATGACCGCCTTTATGGCGGGAAACTAAACACTTAGAAACGGGAACATTTTTGCAGTGATCTTTTAAAATAAAAATTAAGATCCGTTGACAATTTTTAAATTCTGCATGTGAAATCCACCAGAATTATATTCCTGGCGCCCCGGGTAGACATTATTTCCTAGCTTGGGGACTGCGGTCCGGGTAATGTTGACCCGTGGACCGCACTGGACCACACTGGGCCACACTGGGCCACACTGGGCCGCACTGGACCGCACTGGGCCGCATTGGGCCGACCCCTGCCTTACATCGTTACCAATCTTTCCTCATATCTTACTTGCGCTTCCTTGACCTGCAGGAGTGTGGCTGCAGGTGGTGTTGACCTGCAGGAGTGTGGCTGCAGGTGGTGTTGACCTGCAGGAGTGTGGCTGCAGGTGGTGTTGACCTGCAGGAGTGTGGCTGCAGGTGGTGTTGACCTGCAGGAGTGTGGCTGCAGGTGGTGTTGACCTGCAGGAGTGTGGCTGCAGGTGGTGTTGACCTGCAGGAGTGTGGCTGCAGGTGGTGTTGACCTGCAGGAGTGTGGCTGCAGGTGGTGTTGACCTGCAGGAGTGTGGCTGCAGGTGGTGTTGACCTGCAGGAGTGTGGCTGCAGGTGGTGTTGACCTGCAGGAGTGTGGCTGCAGGTGGTGTTGACCTGCAGGAGTGTGGCTGCAGGTGGTGTTGACCTGCAGGAGTGTGGCTGCAGGTGGTGTTGACCTGCAGGAGTGTGGCTGCAGGTGGTGTTGACCTGCAGGAGTGTGGCTGCAGGTGGTGTTGACCTGCAGGAGTGTGGCTGCAGGTGGTGTTGACCTGCAGGAGTGTGGCTGCAGGTGGTGTTGACCTGCAGGAGTGTGGCTGCAGGTGGTGTTGACCTGCAGGAGTGTGGCTGCAGGTGGTGTTGACCTGCAGGAGTGTGGCTGCAGGTGGTGTTGACCTGCAGGAGTGTGGCTGCAGGTGGTGTTGACCTGCAGGAGTGTGGCTGCAGGTGGTGTTGACCTGCAGGAGTGTGGCTGCAGGTGGTGTTGACCTGCAGGAGTGTGGCTGCAGGTGGTGTTGACCTGCAGGAGTGTGGCTGCAGGTGGTGTTGACCTGCAGGAGTGTGGCTGCAGGTGGTGGTGGTGTTGACCTGCAGGAGTGTGGCTGCAGGTGGTGTTGACCTGCAGGAGTGTGGCCTGCAGGTGGTGTGGCCTGCAGGAGTGGTGGCTGCAGGTGGTGGTGGTGTTGACCTGCAGGAGTGTGGCTGCAGGTGGTGTTGACCTGCAGGAGTGTGGCTGCAGGTGTGTGGACCTGCAGGTGTGGCTGCAGGTGGTGTTGACCTGCAGGAGTGTGGCTGCAGGTGGTGTTGACCTGCAGGAGTGTGGCTGCAGGTGGTGGTGGTGTTGACCTGCAGGAGTGTGGCTGCAGGTGGTGTTGGTGGTGTTGACCTGCAGGAGTGTGGCTGCAGGTGGTGGTGGTGTTGACCTGCAGGAGTGTGGCTGCAGGTGGTGGTGGTGTTGACCTGCAGGAGTGTGGCTGCAGGTGGTGTTGGTGGTGTTGACCTGCAGGAGTGTGGCTGCAGGTGGTGGTGGTGTTGACCTGCAGGAGTGTGGCTGCAGGTGGTGGTGGGTGTTGACCTGCAGGAGTGTGGCTGCAGGTGGTGGTGGTGTTGACCTGCAGGAGTGTGGCTGCAGGTGGTGGTGGTGGTGTTGACCTGCAGGAGTGTGGCTGCAGGTGGTGGTGGTGGTGTTGACCTGCAGGAGTGTGGCTGCAGGTGGTGTTGGTGGTGTTGACCTGCAGGAGTGTGGCTGCAGGTGGTGGTGGTGGTGTTGACCTGCAGGAGTGTGGCTGCAGGTGGTGGTGGTGTTGACCTGCAGGAGTGTGGCTGCAGGTGGTGGTGGTGTTGACCTGCAGGAGTGTGGCTGCAGGTGGTGGTGGTGTTGACCTGCAGGAGTGTGGCTGCAGGTGGTGGTGGTGTTGACCTGCAGGAGTGTGGCTGCAGGTGGTGTTGGTGGTGTTGACCTGCAGGAGTGTGGCTGCAGGTGGTGGTGGTGTTGACCTGCAGGAGTGTGGCTGCAGGTGGTGGTGGTGGTGTTGACCTGCAGGAGTGTGGCTGCAGGTGGTGGTGGTGTTGACCTGCAGGAGTGTGGCTGCAGGTGGTGGTGGTGGTGTTGACCTGCAGGAGTGTGGCTGCAGGTGGTGGTGGTGGTGTTGACCTGCAGGAGTGTGGCTGCAGGTGGTGTGGTGGTGTTGACCTGCAGGAGTGTGGCTGCAGGTGGTGTTGGTGGTGTTGACCTGCAGGAGTGTGGCTGCAGGTGGTGGTGGTGTTGACCTGCAGGAGTGTGGCTGCAGGTGGTGGTGGTGGTGTGACCTGCAGGAGTGTGGCTGCAGGTGGTGGTGGTGGTGTGACCTGCAGGAGTGTGGCTGCAGGTGGTGGTGGTGTTGACCTGCAGGAGTGTGGCTGCAGGTGGTGGTGGTGTTGACCTGCAGGAGTGTGGCTGCAGGTGGTGTTGACCTGCAGGAGTGTGGCTGCAGGTGGTGGTGGTGTTGACCTGCAGGAGTGTGGCTGCAGGTGGTAGTGGTGGTGTTGACCTGCAGGAGTGTGGCTGCAGGTGGTGGTGGTGGTGTTGACCTGCAGGAGTGTGGCTGCAGGTGGTGGTGTGACCTGCAGGAGTGTGGCTGCAGGTGGTGGTGGTGTGTTGACCTGCAGGAGTGTGGCTGCAGGTGGTGGTGGTGGTGTTGACCTGCAGGAGTGTGGCTGCAGGTGGTGTTGACCTGCAGGAGTGTGGCTGCAGGTGGTGTTGACCTGCAGGAGTGTGGCTGCAGGTGGTGGTGGTGGTGTTGACCTGCAGGAGTGTGGCTGCAGGTGGTGGTGACCTGCAGGAGTGACCTGCAGGAGGTGTTGCCTGCAGGAGTGGGCTGCAGGTGGTGTTGACCTGCAGGAGTGTGGCTGCAGGTGGTGGTGGTGTTGACCTGCAGGAGTGTGGCTGCAGGTGGTGTTGACCTGCAGGAGTGTGGCTGCAGGTGGTGGTGGTGTTGACCTGCAGGAGTGTGGCTGCAGGTGGTGTGTGACCTGCAGGAGTGTGGCTGCAGGTGGTGGTTGACCTGCAGGAGTGTGGCTGCAGGTGGTGTTGACCTGCAGGAGTGTGGCTGCAGGTGGTGTTGACCTGCAGGAGTGTGGCTGCAGGTGGTGTTGACCTGCAGGAGTGTGGCTGCAGGTGGTGTTGACCTGCAGGAGTGTGGCTGCAGGTGGTGTTGACCTGCAGGAGTGTGGCTGCAGGTGGTGTTGACCTGCAGGAGTGTGGCTGCAGGTGGTGTTGACCTGCAGGAGTGTGGCTGCAGGTGGTGTGTGACCTGCAGGAGTGTGGCTGCAGGTGGTGGTGGTGTTGACCTGCAGGAGTGTGGCTGCAGGTGGTGTTGACCTGCAGGAGTGTGGCTGCAGGTGGTGGTGACCTGCAGGAGTGTGGCTGCAGGTGGTGGTGGTGTTGACCTGCAGGAGTGTGGCTGCAGGTGGTGTTGACCTGCAGGAGTGTGGCTGCAGGTGGTGGTGGTGTGACCTGCAGGAGTGTGGCTGCAGGTGGTGGTGGTGTTGACCTGCAGGAGTGTGGCTGCAGGTGGTGTTGACCTGCAGGAGTGTGGCTGCAGGTGGTGGTGACCTGCAGGAGTGTGGCTGCAGGTGGTGGTGGTGTTGACCTGCAGGAGTGTGGCTGCAGGTGGTGTTGACCTGCAGGAGTGTGGCTGCAGGTGGTGGTGACCTGCAGGAGTGTGGCTGCAG